GTAGGGTTCTATGATAGAGCGGCCTGAATAATTAGAAAAGAGTTCCCTTTAAAGGGTTCGTTACAGAGATCTATAGTAGGGTTCTATATTGTAGGGGCCGTAGATAATTAGAATAGGGATTCCTTTGAAGGGTTCCTTAAAGGTGTCTATCGTAGGGTTCTATAATATAGGGGCCTTAGTAATTAGTATAGGGTTCTTCTCAAGGGTCCCTTAAAGGGATCTATAGTAGGGTTCTATATTAGAGGGGCCTTAAGAATTAGAATAGGGTTTGGAGGGTATATTGTACTAGATTTATTAAGGCCCCTGTGTTACAGTAGCTTGGAATTACCGCCAACTCGACATGGGGGAAGCAACGAGGGCCATGTAGGAAATTCAGGAGTCGTGGCAAAGATTGCCGCTGGTGACAGCCGCACGCCCATAAATTCCCATTTCCGCTGTTTTGGCTATGAAGGAGGACAGGCAGGTTGGAGCACCAAAGAAACAAGGGGCAGCTGCAACGGGCCAGGGCGAGCACAAAACTGTAACAGAGTGGCATAAACAACACGAGCGCCACAAAACAGCTCAATCGCGACTTTAAAATCAGCTGCAGTCGACAGCTGTGCTCCTGACACTGAGCGATCGAAAGTGGTTGGGATGTCGGTGGTGATATGGAGGTTCGCTGTCACAAGCGCAGGAGCAAGAAGACAAGCATGCATGAAGCTTCGCTTTCTCATTATCTGAAACGGGCTTCAGCACCCACGGCTGCCAGAATAGTTGGGCAAGAGCAGTGTCCGAGAAAGACAACGACTCAACAAGATGAATGACCTTGGCCCGCATCCGTGAAGGAATCAACGGTCAACCCCTATCCCACGCCGCCCCCCCCCCATCCATGCACGACGTACCTCCGTCACCTGGGACAGATTCGTGACCTGGGCGGCGCAGTCCGAGGACGTGGCTGTTGGAGGGTGGAACTACGAAGGTGCTGCTCTGCAAGTTGGGCTGCGGGCCATTCAGCATTTGGGGCTTGAGGTGTCGACTTCTAGGTGGAAGAGAGATAGAGTGCTACGCAACGCTTCGGCAAAACGACAAGAGTCTCCTTGTGCATCAGAGCGAAGCTTTAACTACCAAAACCTATAGTCAGCGAGAGCCACAATAGATACTCTTCCAATTGAGGTAAGTAGGCACACGAACACCACATGACAGCAAGACGGCCACGAACCTGCACAACATGTCGCTATGCCCTATATCCGCGAACCTGAACAGAGCCCTAAAACCCTCAACCCCTAAACCCTAAACCCCTACAGCCCTAAACGCCTAGAACCCTAATCCCGAAACCCCCCTAGAGTCTAGAGCCCTAAACCCCTAACCCACAAACCCTAAGACCTCCCGTCCGAGGAACTTCTTGAAGCAATTGCCGCGACATATCCGGCTCACCGGCCTCCCAAGAGGGCTTAGGGCTTCAGGGTTTAGGGTTTAGGGCTTTAGGGCTTTAGGGTTCAGGGCTTAGGGCTTAGGGTGTAGGGTTTAGGGCTTAGGACATTGGGGTCTGGGGTTGAACCGTACCAAGCGCAGAATGCAGAAAACGAGCCGACCAGCGAACCAAATCAACCACAAGCTATATATATATATATATATATATCCGAAATACAGTCTCAAGGCAGGAAAAACACTCCGAAATGAGTCCCCAAAGCCTCAACCCCACATGGTACCTTCTTTCGGGGTCCCTATAATAAGGATCCTACCACCATCTTAGGGTCCCCTACTTTCGGAAACCTCCCATGTCCTAAACCCTCAGCCCTTGGGACGTTCCCTTACGTGGAGGGTCGGGGACTTAGTAAGCAGGTGGTAAGTAGACTTATAAGTACCCTAAAAGGGATCCGAATTGGGGTTATGGTACTTATAAGTCGTTAAAATCAACAGTTACTAAGTCTCCCGACCCTCCAAGTAAAGGGTACCCCTTCTGAACCCTACTTCTGGCTCTCTTAAAGGGGACCTTATTGAGAGGGTCTTTATCCCCAAGGGTCCTCCTAATCCTAACTCCCACTTACCTCCAAAGCGCTTCACATTCCCTGCTTTTCCGATCTGAAACGGAACCCCGAGCCCCAGAGCTCCAACCGAAAAGAGTATAACTTAGGGTTTAGGGTTTAGGGGATTAGGGTTTAGGGTTACCCCCCTTAGATTAGAACCATAATAAAAGAAATGTGCTGGATGTTCGCTTGTTTTTTATATGAACAAAGGTAATTCTAAGGAGACTATAGAAGAGGCCCATGGGCCTTAACAATCACCTAGACTAGGGGGTGTCGAGGTTTCGAGAATGTTCAACGTGGAACCCTTAAGGGACAAGACTATGTGTCATTTGAGCCCCCGTATCAACCGGAAGAAGTAGCAGCTGCAGTTTAGGAAGCTCGGGCTGACTGGCGGTGGTGCAGCACAATGGCAGTCAGAAGTGGCGTAGCAGAGGTGATGCTGGTGAGAAAAGCGATCACAAATTTTGCACGCTTGCGCAAAAGTCAATCCAAAGACTCCCACACACACACACACACACACACACACACACACACACACACACACACACACACACACACACACACACACACACACGCGAGCTTGCCTTAGCAGGTGCAGCTGCACTCGACTCGGTCGGGACCGCCGCCTTTGCCTTTGGCAGCGGTCGGATTTTGGGCGGTTTTTGGAAGGGCACTCCTTGACATGACAAAACTCATGTTTTGGAGTGATTTGGAGGACGCTTCGGGCTTCTATCCTTGTGCTTGAAGCGTGTAGGATGTAAATCAAGAGAACTGAATTCTGAACCCTGAATCCTGAAGCTATTCAGTTCTGGAACAATTAGATATTCAGTTCAATTACTTCTCACTCATCAGTGCACAGGGACATAGAGGTCGCTGGCAGATAATTCTGTCGACTCGTAGCGTTGATACTATCACGAAGGTCATCAGTACAACTGCCACCACCAATAGCTGCTACTACTGCTACTGCTACTACTGCTACTACTGCTGCTACTGCTGCTACTGCTACTACTGCTGCTACTGCTACTACTGCTACTACTGCTACTACTGCTACTACTGCCCTTCTACCGTGCCTCATCCAAGGCTTTCTTCAACTGCTGGATCTTGTCCTGGCAGCGGTATCTCTGAATCCACGACAATGAGGGCCGTACATTCCTCAAGTCACAGCTGCTCAACCTTGCTTAAACTTGTTCGAGAAACGTGGCAAGCAGCTCACAACTGCAGGTGAGCCTACAACTAACTACCCATAGGCTCCATAGTAGTTCTTTTTTGGGGTTCATATGTAGCATTCTATAAGGTAATCCTAAGGTAATCTCCCCAAAAATGAGCTACTATGGAGCCTCTGGGTATTCTGAGTTTTAGCCAAGCTGTATTGTAGTCTGCTTTGGGCATCAGCCTCAGACCCGGTATGAGATTCTCTGATTCAGAACAATCCGGCACAAAGGCATCTCCCAGAGAGCCCAATACCCCTTAATTCAGGAATTTACCTTAAATCATAATATTAATCCCCTCATTATTTAGGCTATATTCCTTAATTAAGGGGTATTGGGCTCTCTGGGTTTCCTTCGATTGTACCAAGATGGCCTCGACAGCTAATTTTCCCTGAAAGCTGAAGGTGCCCACATTGCAAACACTGCAAGAACAAAGGAGTCTATCGACAGCGATGCAAAGATATCGTGTAATATGACCTTGGCATAAGCACTTTCCAGGAGTACTGTCAGTTGTATGTGAAGCTTGTAAACTAGTAAACTCGACCCTCATGCACAAAAGAAATTATGGCGCCGGAAGTTGAAAGAACCTTCCTGTGGGCCCTACTGCTTCAAGGAAGCTTTAACTGCCCAGCAAGCCCCTCCCGAAAGCAATGACAACTTGACTTGACCCCAACTGCTCTTGAACCTACAGCCGAGACGCGCAAAACTGAATCAACCCTGAACACCTGAAAGCCGCCGGAAGTCCGAAACCCTGAACTCCAAACTTTGAAACCCCATAAGCTCGAAAACATACCCTAAACCCTGAAACCAAACTCTACTCCCTCCCGCTCCTCTGCATCTTCCAGGCGTATCTTCAGCTCTTGCCTCGGATCCGTCAGGTTCCTCGCATTCCGAAACCCCAACCCCCCCCCTGGGAGTTTATAGGGCTCCTAAACCCCCAGCCCTAAAGCAGATTCCTGGTTTAGGGCTCCTAAACCACGGCCTTCAGGGCTCAGACTTGTGGGTGCCAGGATTCGGAGGATTCCAGCAAGCCGAAAGTGCGCGTCTGGGTGAGGAGTCGTGGAACTGGCAACACTCGCTATGCACCGGTTGATAGGTTACCGGGCTCGTCCAGTCTGGGCATCAACTGTTTGTTTAGGGTTTAGGGTTTAGGGGTTTAGGGTTTAGGGGTTTAGGGTTTAGGGGTTTAGGGTTTATATTTGCAAAGGAGATTTGATGGAACAGATCGATCAACTGCTCCGAGAACTCCTTAATTCAGGATCCCCTGCCCTAAGGAATCCTGCTTCAAATGATGAAAACTCTGCAAACCTCACAAACCCTTATAACATCCTTAAGCCCGCTTACAAGGCCGTTTTTACGATCTGCTTAAGGAATGGGTTCTGGTGCACTTCCGAAGTAAAGATTCCTCCAGGAACTTTCATTGCAAAGGAAAGACTTCGGAGAGACTCCAAGAGCCCCTGATTGGGCAAACTATAGGTGTGTGTATATATATATATATATAATGTGTGTATATGTGTGTATACATATATACATGTATATATACACATATGCGTATATGTTGATATTGCACATTAACTATGTGTATAGTGTATGTGTATATACATACACATGCACACACACACACACACCAGATAGCCCTTTGCACAAGGTCTTTGTCGGGTTGGGAGCGGGTGCATATAGAGGGCTCTGTACCTCTACAGGACTTCTTATAAGTCTGAAAGACTCTGAGAGCCTACATATACATATGTATAACTATATATGTAACACTATATAACATATATAATCATAAAAATAATATGCTAATAATAATAATAATAAAAATAATAATATAATAATAATATTAGTAATAACAATAATATATATATATATATATATATATATATATATATGGAATCACTGTAGGGGTCTATACTTTTCAACACCGTGACATAGGGCAGAGCTGTTGGAGAAGGGATCCTTCAGTAAGAGCTTGGGGAAGTCTTGGGCCTCGCATCCTTGGTTCTGCCAGATACGCGCCTGAAGCCTGGATTTGGAGCCCAGGGTTTAAAGTTCAGGCATGGGACTTAGGGTTCCTTAAAGGGTTCTTTAAAGGGATCTATAGGGTTCCTTAAAGGGATCTATAGGGTTTAGGGTTCAGGCATTACTTGGAGGATCATGGGACTTGGTAACTAGGGTTATAATATAAGGTAGCTATACTTATAGCTCCAATTAGGGTACTTATAACCTTACTTACTAGGTCCCATGATCCTCCACAGTGCAGGAAATCATGACCCGGAAACAAGACCTTGCCGACCGTGATCCCTTATCTGGTATGGTCTTTCCTGCGCTTAAATGTGAGTCAATGGAACCTGTGAGTACGAAGGACCCGAAGCAATTAAGAAGCCTTCCCCCTGCTGAACTACGGGGTTCAGGGTTTAGTTAGGTTTTAGGGTTTAGGGTTTCAGCTAGTTCGTACTACTTTCAATACCAGTACTTGCATACAAGTTACAGACCATACATGTAAACACAAAGATAGCTCCGACTCATCTGTGCGTATACATATACATACACATACACATACATGAAAACATGGCTGCACAGAGTGATCAACCTTTCGTGACATGCATACTGTATGTGTGGATGGGTGTATGTGGCTGCATGTATGTATGTATGTACGTATGTACATGCATGGTGTGTAAGCGTCTCGGCACAGGCCGCCCCCCAACAGGTAGCCTGCCTTACGCATGGTTGCTGCATGCCACGGTCTCTTGCTCCTCCAAGTTCTTCTTCTGACTACAGCTACAGTGACTCCTCGGAATCTCGTTCGAACTCCATGTCTACAGAACCAGACGAGAGAGAACGGAGGCACGCTGAGTTGGAACGCAACCAGATTGCACAACGATCCGCCCGGCTGGAGTGGTTCAGGAAACGCACGGCCTATTTCCTGTGCTACAGGTACCTGGAATGCCAACAACACCAACTCGGTCTCTCGGAGCGTCAGGTATCTCAGAAGCTCGGTTGGTTCAGGCGCAGGACCCAAATGGCAACAGTGGATTTCAGACAGATGCGGTACATTGCTGGCCCAAGGCTGGAAGAACCTTTGCGCTCCCGGTTGCGGCAAGATATGGACGTACTTGAAAACATGTTGTCTTCCACGATATTGCCAAATGACATGGACTGGCTCTTGGGCGTCGGTCAGGAGGGAGACCCTCCTAAGCACTTGTTGGAACAACAGTTCCAGACTCTCCTGTCCCGCCGCTTTCGGGCTGAGTTCGCATGCGAAGACTCAGCGAACCTGGCGGCAGAGGTGGCCTCGGCCGCCACCCAGTTCTTCTACCGGGACTGCATCTTTGCGGTCTGGCCGTTGCTGGATGCATCTGCTCAGTTTTCGCTACAATCATGGTTCCACCGCTATCGTCACGGACAACCTCACGAAGGCGTTTTTGACGAACCTCGGAGCGACCCTGGCGGGATGGAGCATCCACCACAGCAAGACCTGGGTACAGCAGGAACTGAGCAAGTGGAAAGCATGCCTGAGCAGTCCTCTGAGCAAGCTTCCGGATCTCGCGATGAACCTCCATCAAGATATCAATGGCACTGCTCTTTCGGAAACCGGGACACTTGGCTGCAGCTCTTACGTTGAGAACAGCTCGACGAGTGCGTGGCTAGTACCAAATCAACAGCGGTTGTGCTGCCCTGGTCCCAAGTCCAGGGGCGCGGGAAGCCAGATGAACTCGACAGTCTTTAGGCCAGGCTCCCGTGCAGACGCGAGGGTAGGAGGCAGCTATGGTCGTAGCCCTCCGGAAGCCACCCCAAGGAGTGACTGTATTTCTGTTAAACAGGTGAAGTCACACGACCCGTTTTTCGGCTACATTGCTGGACCTTTGCGAAGTAGCCCCGGAACTCAGCTTCCTCAGTCGTATTCATTTATGCATGTCGTACAGACAGTTGTATACACACTCAGCCCGTTTCTGTTCGGTCACCTACAGTACAGGACTCTGCCCCCCAAGCTTTGGCATTCGGATGATCTCAGTTTGCAGGCCGGGGGTCCACAGAATTCCGCATGGCTTGCGCTGTGCATTCTCTGTGCAGTTCTGCTAGGATTGCGTGTCCTGGATGGTCTAGCTAGACTGAATGCAGCCCCGTCGTGTCTTTATCGCACGTGTCGACTTTGTGAAGGCTGCTACCGACGCAGACGTTTTTCGCGAGGTCTGAGCAAAGACTTGCCTGGTTGCTTGCGAGTGCGTAAGCTTGAGCCGGCCATAGTCCGACGAAAGCCTCTGCCAGCCCGGACACCCAAATGCCGACGGGCGACCTTCATCTGCACCCCAACCCGGTACTTAGCTGTGTTTGCCCTGATTCTGTATGGACTCCCGCAGGTAACGATAGCCCACCCTGTAGCCGTAGAAACATCTACCCCGGCCCAGCCTTTCAGGGCGTTTGGACAGCTGGCTCAACGGCTCTCCAATTCACGCAAGCGTGCGTTCAAGCGTGCACAGGTACGAGCGCTTCAGCATGGCAGCACCCAATATAAGGGCCAAACCCATACTCCTGGTAGTCTTGCCCTTAAGGTTATAGGTCCCGCCCCGCGTAGGCCCCCACGAGATCCTGCAATGTTTGCCAACCAAATACGTATAGTTACGTGGAATGCAGGGGGCCTAAATGCTGCAAGGTATGCCGAACTGCTCGAGTGGATCAGTCAGGAGGCCGCTGCCGGTCGCCCTATCCACATTCTCTGTGTTCAAGAAACTAAGTGGAACTACGATGCGGAATATCAAACACCTGACTGGAACGCTATTCATTCCAGCACTGGTGCATCTGCAGGGGGAGTCCTAATGCTAGTGCACAAAAGCGTCTCAAAATCGGAACATCTCCGATTCGTTCCAGTGGTGCCCGGCCGCGCCCTGCATGTCCGTGTTGCGCTGAATCCACCTTTGGATGTACTGGGTGTGTACCAGCACGCCTGGCATACACAGGCCAGGTCAGATGCAGCTGGATTCAGCACCGCAACGCAGAAATTGCTGCAGTCCCGTCACATCATTTGGGATTCCCTTCGCAAATGGATCCGCTCCATACCCAAGCGCAACATAGCAGTGATGGTTGGAGACTTTAACTGTCCCCTGCATACGCATTTACCCAATATCGGTACTGGATTAGCACCCCACAAACATTTAGTTCATCCAGACCAGTCTGAATTCCAGTCTGTAGTCCAATCAGAGGGCCTTGTAGCACTTAATACGTTCGGTGTCAAAGGCAAGCCTGCTGGCACGTATCTACACTTCGATGATCATGTTGTCCAGATAGACTTTATTATCACCAGACTTCCGTGCCGACAGAGAGCCAAAACGGCTTCAGCCATCCCCGACGCCGACATTGTGCACCCCACGGGTCTTCGACATGCTCCGGTTGCAGCGTACTTGCCAGTTGAGGGCCCTTCCACGCCTCCACAAAAGTCCCAGAAAATCACCAGGTACCAGGTTCAAGACTTGTTTCAGAAACAGCCGGAAGCGGAAGCCTGGTACAAGCATCGGGTCCAGACATTGCTTGCGTCTCACTCTGATCCAGAGGTTGCACTAGCAAAGGCATGGAAGGCTTGTGCCCAACAGTTCCCGCTTGGCAAGGCCAGTGCCAAGCCCCGAGCGGAAATCAATCTTCAAACCTTTTGGATAGCTAAGCGTCAGCTCAGATCGGCGTTGCAAACAGCTAGTCAATACTGGAGCCCCGTCATCTGGCACTGCTCGGCCTCTGGCCAAGCGACTTTGCGTGCTCATTTTCTAGGAGTGATATCCCGTCTTTCAGTTTTGCTGCATGGATGGAAAGCCTCGGTCAGTTTTGGCCGCCAGAACAGGACTCTGCGTCAACGTGTACTGCAAAATAAGCGCCAA